TTACATAACCACTCACTAAACCTAATCCTACCAGGAAATTCTAGGTGTCAACATAAAGCTTATGCAATAGAATTAACCTCCTCACAACATGCGGGAACCTGGGCACTTCAACACCAATTCCCACAGGCCACTGGGTGAAAGCTACTGGGCTGAAAGATTTTAATTTCACAGCACCTCTGTGTTGCTTGCACTGGAGGAAAGTATGATCCAGTGGCCAGAGACAGCTCTTAAGAAAAAGGAAATGAAAGGAAGATAGGGAAGGAGAAAGGGAGAGAGGGAAGGTGAAGAGAAGGAGGAAAGAAATAATATAGGAAGGAAGGAAGGACGGAAAGAAGGAAGGAAGGAAGAAAGAAAGAAAGGAAGGAAGGAAGGGGAAGGGAAGGGAAGGGAAGGGAAGGGAGGGAGGAAGGGAAGGAGGGAGGAGAAAAACTTAAAGCAAAACTATGAATGAAAGAGCATTAAACAGGAGACAAAATAAAATGAGTTTTCAAAAAGAAACAATAACCTATTGAGTGCCAGAAGGAGGAGAAATAAAAAATAGTTTTTTTTAAAAAAAAAAAACAACTATTTTGAGCAAATGAGCAAATAATTCAGTAAGTAAATTTCATGACAAAGTTAAGTATGCCTTTTATCTCTCATTCAAATCACACCTAATTCTGAGGCTCCTCTCAAAAAAATGAGGATAGCACTCAAAAGTGAGCTACCTTTCATGACTCATTCTCTCACTTTGGGGTCATACCCACACCCTTGAGGCAGGCACAATGGAAGAACACGCCTGGTCAGGACCCAGGCTTGTCTTGTCTTGTTCAGACCACCAAAGGCATGAGCCCAAAGTCATTTGCTCCTTTTAAGCCAAACTTTGCACACAAACCTTTACTGAAAGTCCCAGATCCTAGAAACAATCCTAGAGCCACCACTTCCCCTTCAAGGTCTCTACTTGGAAAACACTCCATTCTCCCAGTCCCTTGGAATCTCACTCCCTTCTCAGGCCAGCCCCTACTTCTCCCAAAGTGAACCTCACCCACACAGCCATCAAATGGCCATCTGGTGCTTTGATCAATTGTTCTCATACCACAAAGAACTCTGTCAAAATGCAGGTTCTTAAGGAGGTTCTGTACATCACACTTTGCAAGAATTGTTTGAAACACAAGTGTTTTTCTAGATGTCTTCAAAACATAGCAACTGTTTCTTCTCCCTCCTATAACATGAAAAACTGCTAATTAGCCTTGTATTGAGCTCAGTAATGAAGACGACAATATCCTGGCTGCCTTTTCTGTGAGAAAAGGACTAGAAAATTTCATTACAAAACCAGGTACCAATTTGTTTCCCAAGAACTCATTCTGTAACATATTTTATTGTTTATTATATGTGCCTGCTATATGCAAGTCAATGTTGCCTACTTTCTTTTCTTTTCTCAGATAGTATCAACATATACAACTTTTTCCACCCAAACTTATTATCCACATGTTTGTATAACTTAGACACTTCACAGTAATGGAAATCTAAACATTTGATTTTTTTCAGGAAAAAATTATTTGTGCAAATGTGAGGAAAATATTAAGGAAGATAATGCTAAAAATAAATAGATGCAGGATTCATTATATTTAGAATGTATTACATGTGTGAGTTTTTGTACTAGTTTTGTTTTGTTTCATTTTTTTGTTAGTCATGGGGTTTGAATTCAGGGCCTGAACACTTGTCCCTGAGCTCCTTTGCTCAAGGTTAGCACTCTATCACTTTCAGCCACAGCACCACTTACAGTTTTCAGGTGGTTAGTTGGAGATAAGAGTCTCAGAGACTTTCCTGCTCCAGCTGGCTTTGAACTGCGATCCTCAAATCTCAACTTTCTGAGTAGCTAGGATTACAGGCATGAGCCACCAATGCCCAGCTGTATTTTTGTTTTGTTTTGAACTTGATAAATTCCAGCAAGTTATGAAATTACATTCCACACACAGGTCTCCCTTGGGTGGCTCTGGAAACCTTACCTGGAGGGTCTATGAGCAGATAGCAACTACCTTGCTGGTGACACTGACTTACACAGCAGCCAGCAGGGTGAGTAGGCCCTTGGGAATTCTGGTTGATCAAGGAAATGGACACAAGAAGAACTCACTAGGGAGTACACACCAGCTTTCCTTGTGCTTTGTCTTAGAGGTTTTTAAACTCCAGTCGTTCCCAAACTACCTAGAGAGTCATTAGAGCTGGAACATGTCCCTAGGCCCTCTCTCTCAGAGTAAGCAGGTCAGGGATAGAGACTGAGAAGTTGCATTTCTAACAAGATCCCAGTGGCCTCTATTGCTAATCTAGTGCCCAGACTTTAAAAACCATCACTACCTTGTCATTACATATTTGATTCCCTAGGTATCCAGATATGAAGAATGCTACTCCTTTTTTTATCTCTACCATGAAATCATAGGAAAGTAGCTGAGAGGAAGCAGGCCCTGTCCATGGCTCATGTGGGACTAGAGAAAGCTGCTTCAGCCCCTGGGAATGCACTATAGTTAGATTTCCTATTGGCTGTCTCCTAGACATCTCAACGGTACTCATTTCAACCAATGACATGCATTCAGATGCTCAGCCAACCATCCTTGATCACCCTTGATAACTCTTCTTTCCATAAGACTCACTTGGCTCTACTTGCCTACAAAGAGAGCAAAGGAGCCTAAATTAGTAGAGCTGAGTGGACCGTTGATAGTACTGGACTGTGAGTGAGCTACGTCTTACTTTGTCAAGACCCTAAGGTTTGAGGTTTGTTTTCTAATACAATCAGCATGAATGCTATAATTTACATAATATATAACAAAAGAGAAGCTTGAACTCTACCTGAGTCTCCAAGGTCCTGTGCAAATGAGAATCTGGGGGTAATTTGGAATGACTCCAGATTCAAGTCTCTTTCTACAAAAAATGTGTGTTATAATACTCCTATAATACATATAAATGTATTATATAGAATATCTTGTTATATATTATATAAACTATATTACATAGAATATAGAAACATTTATCATGTGTGTTCATATATATATATACGTATATATGAGAGATTGATAGGTTGAAAAGTAGATAGAAGATAGAATGATATAAAGAGAATGTCTTATAAGTATGAAGCAGAGCCTCTATCTGCATTTCAGCCACACTGATAGACAGATAGACAATCATATTGTGTCACCAGAGCAAACATATCTGAATCTACTACAGTGGAAATTCTTGGAAATTTATCAGACACAGACCAAATTTTTCACATTTTAAGAAGAAAGCTAAAACATATTCTTTTAAAATTAAAATCTATGCACAAGTAAATATTCAAATTCTCAAGGTGTAAGCAAATACGTTGGGGGGAAAAAGAAAATACTTTTAGATTAAGTAAATAAGCAACAACATTATTGGATCTTCAAACTGAGGTAATGATGGTTATTCTTTGAGATCAAAAATTAAAAGTCAGTCAGGCACCAGTGGCTCATGCCTGTAATCCTAGCTACTCAGGAGGCTGGGATCTGAGGATTGCAGTTCGAAGCCAGTGCTGACAGGAACACCTAAGAGACTCTTATTTCTAATAAACTACTCAGATAAAGCTGGAAGTGGCACACTGGCTCAAGTGGTAGAGCACTACCCTGAGCAAGAGAAGCTCAGGGACATCACCCAGGCTGACTTCAAGCCCCAGGACAAGCAATAAATAAATAAACAAATAGTCCCTGAAATTAATTTCAATTAAGGTGAGAAAACATTCTTTTAGTTATGAAGTGATTTCTAAATAGTTACAGAAAATGAACATTTTTAAGGGAGGTACTCAGTTGGGGCTCTACTAAAACAGAAACAGTCAAAGATTTTGTTTCTTTACAAATGCTTGTTTACAAAGATTAGGGGGAAATGCTATGTCACACACTAATTTGGTTTCTGTGAAATAATATGAGTATCCAGCCATGGAAGGAAGCACCCATAATCTCAGTGACACTATGGAAGACTTGATGGATTATAAATGGATCTATAGCAATGGTCATCATATGATATTGGCTTTCAAACTCTCTTGAATATTGTGTCAGTCAAATTTCAATTTTCCTATAGGGGAAAAAAACTGAAAATATAGCTGAACAAGTCAATTTGAAAAGAAGAAAGATTTATTTGGAGTCACCGTTTGGGAAATGTCAGCCTGTGCTTCTATAACCCCACCACTGTGGCCTTAGGTAGGTACTATTTCATGGCAGAAACACACGGCTTGGAAAGTTGTTCACCCCCATGGTGGTCAGAAAGCAAAGACAGAAATAAGAAGGGGCTGGGTCCTCAGATCTCATCAAGGGTCCACCCCCAATGACCTAACTTCTTTCTAGTAGGCTTTACCTCCAGGAGAAACCACCACCACCTGACAGGGTCCCCAGCTAGTAATCAAACCTTCAGCAGATGGGCCTTTGGGGGATCTTCCCAGCCCAAGCTGTAATAAACACAGACCACCAAAATAAATAAGCACACAGTATATGCACATGTGTATATATACTTACGTAAGTATAACTGGAAGAAAAATTTCACTAACTTTTGTGTGTGTGTGTGTGAGGAAAGACAGACAGACAGAGCGCCAATACACTGGCTTGAACTCTGAGCCTACTACTCTCAGTTGCCCACCTGCCTTGCTTGCTCACAGCTGGTGCTCTATCACTTAAACCACATCCAGCAAGGGTTTTTTTTTTCCTTTTTCACTAGTTAATTGGAGATGCAGCCACTCTGATGTTTCATCTCCAAGCTGGCCCCAAGCCATGACCTCTGATCTCCGCCTCCTGAGTAGCTAGGATTACAAGATCCGTGAGAACTCAGCAGTATTCATTTCTAACGCAAGAGAACCAGCCACTTCCTTTTGTTGTTTCTTTCTTAATACTTACAGTCTTTTAGAAAATACTTGGTTGATTGATCTAGTGATTTATTTTCAGGTGTCACTTTTCTTCTGAGAAATTTCACTTATGGCTGATCTGTTTAGAACAATGCTTTTATGAATCCAGAAAGAATAAACAATTATTTTCCCCAGTAAGTAATATTTGGGCTTATTAATTGGTCTGAAAATACACACACACACACACACACACACACACACACAGTGTTAGCAGTAAGCATTGCATAATGACCTCAAATTTATGCTGGTAAGAGGTAAGAGACTCTAATGAACAGGTAGCCAAATCTCTGCAGTTACTATATGGAACTGCTTTCTTGAAGCAGCAGAGACTATTAAGAGACTATTAAGTTCACCAGCGTTGTCCTACACATGGAGGCCTGTACATCTTACCATCAATACCAGCACCCTGGCTACCCAGTGGGATCATCTTCACTCCTTAGGACAGCATCACATGATGGATCTAGGCAGAAAAAGGAAAGAGCTGCTCTTGTTTTGTGAAATACAAGTAAAAATAGTCAATCTTCATATTGGATACTCATATTGAAAAAATATGAGTAGCTATTCATGAGAAGGTACATATCCCAATCACAAGTATAAGCCAGGCCTAGACTCTGTAGGTGGTTTGGGTTTTGAGTGTTGGAAAGTAACTTAAGCACATTGAATTACTTATTTTAAAAAACCTAATAACTATTTTATTAGTACAACAAGACTTCTCAAGAGTCATGACACACACTTCAAAATCTTATGTGAACATTTCTGAAAGATCTTTGACACATAGAACACTGGATTTGAGTAAGATCAAAGAAACTCTCTGGTCCTGCAGTGGACCACTGATGTAGAAGACTCCAGGGCTATCCTCACCCATGCCACACTGTCTCTGTCAAGCTGTCAGTATTCATTCAGGTAGGAAGGGATTCCATGAGTGTTTACAAACTACTAGAAAGGCTGGTAAAGAAGAATGTGTAGATAATCAAATAACTCACAGAAATTTCCAGCAGAAAGCTTAGAAGCAGGGGAACCTTCAACAAAGCTAAAACACATCTTATTTCCAATAGCCAAGAGTGAAATATTACTTATATCTACTTATTTATTCATTTGACTAAAACGACCATCCAAAGTCTTCTCCTGTATATACAACATTGTTTTCCAAGGAATTCTTCCTGACAATGGTGAAGGCAAGGCAATCTCTTTCTTGCTACTGACTGCCCATCCTACCTAACTCTGCCCTGTTATATTGTAGTTATTTGTGTCTTTAGGTCTTTTCCTCCAGGCTGGTCTTGAGGATAGGATCTGTAACCCTACCTTCTTGGTGAGATGTTATTTGCAATAACAATGGCTCCTGTTTATTAGGATTTCACCAGGCGTCTAGCACTAGCTTCTTCCTTCTCTGTATTACATCACATTTATTGACTATATCAACCCTATAGAAAAATAAGTCCTTCTAGGAAACACAACCTCAGGAAACAATCCGTTAGTAACATAGGATTTAACTGGTTTGCAAACCCAAAACTCAGACAAGGCTTCATTACTATATTGCCATAGATTTAAGTCATGACCTGAGGGCAAACACCTCTCACAGTCCATTTGATGATGGAAAACTTAGGAAGTAGTTCCTTATGATGAATCTCATAAAATATATAGAGACCTTCTCCCTTTTGGGTATGTCCCAGTGTGATCAGAGCATGGAACTTGGTGGAGGAGAATAGCCTGTCTGTTGACTACACAGCCCTGTCTATAACTGCACTCTTCCAGGGAGGAGCAGTCACAGAGATTACCATATGGTAGAGTCCTGGAGGCTCTAAAATGTGATGGCCCTTTCCTAAGTGAGAAACCACCACCTGGTTGGTGCTTGCCAAGCACAGACTACCTTGATATACAAGAGAAGTTTAAACAACTGATTTAATAACTTGCAAGCCTACTTTACAAAGTAAAGATCATACGCTGAACTACTTCTCAGATGCCCATGTGCATCAAATAAGTCACAAAGGAAGCACACCATAGATGCATTGTTATTTTCGGACACATGAGGATTTGTGAAAAGAATGGTAAGAACAATTGCATGATCTGCCCTCACAAACTGTTTCTACTTTGTTGTTCTCTTGATTTTGTTGCTTTACACGAAGTGAGGATCTCCCTTATGCCCACTTTCTGAAGTTTACGGAAAGTCCACAGCTGTGTAGAATCCTAGTGTTTCATTGAGAGGTCAGCAACCAATTCTATGCTGTTTCAAAGCACAACGAGCTGATATGATTGATGCAGTAGAAAATCAACAACTTGACAAGTTACATAATCATTTCAACTACAGCCAAACCTTCTGATATAATAGCTATCAGACATGCACACTTACATGTCTGTAAAGTTCCTTAGTTAATATTTAAAAATCAGCTTTTCGGTTGGATTTTTCCATATTCCAGCTGCTCGTTTATCACTGATAGTTCTACGAAGTGGCACTGCTCTAAAGTAATAAGAGGTCTATTCAAGTTAGCCTTTTAACTGAGAATGGAACTGAATTGGCTCTGGATTTCAGCTGCAAAGCTTACTTCCTAGTTATCAGCTTGGTGTCTCAAGTGTTCAGATATAAAAACTGAGCCCTTCTGTATCTAAGCAGATATGGGGATTATGTAGGAAAGACAACTGAATGAATAGATAGATGATAGATAGATAGATAGATGGATAAGAGATACATATTTCTCATGAACTGATGTTCTATTCCGTTCTTTTTGAGGTAAAATATCACTATTTAGTCCAGCCTAGCCTCAAATTCTTAATCCTTCTGCTTCAGCCTCTCAGATGCTGAGATTACAGCCATGTGCTACCACACCACAATGGCCCGCCCCTGCCAAAATGGGGCACCTCATCCTGTTGGCCTTTCCAGGCCTAGCATGAGCACCCAGAACATATGAAGTGATAGGAAGGCTTAACATCAAAGCTAGCTCATTCACAAATTATTCCAGTGATGAAGGTCTACAAGGAGACATGAAGAAAGTCCTGCGTATCAATTTGGACAATGTGATCAAGGATATCAACTCTGATTTCAGTTTCAAGGTTCCCATGGCAGACTGCATATTTTCACAGAGCTCCAGCTCTTTGGTAACAAAATGAGAGTAGGATCGGTTATTAGAAGAAAGTAAATAAGTTAATGTGTGCAAAGCACTTATCACAGATCCTGGCAATTAACAAGGATTCCTACTAACCCTGCCTAGATATGGAAAGAAGCAAAGATGAATATCTGAAACTCTGAGCAAGGTATCTTGTGTCTTGATTTTTATTCAACACCCACTTCCTTTAGCTTTATTGCAAGCTTAGCATAAGGCAATATATCTGTAAGTACTTTATCAATTTTTAAATACCATAAAAATACTTTACTAGTTTTAACTCTTCAGTGAGGCTGATCATATTCCACATCTATGTCACAGGGATTATGAGAAGAATAGCAGGTGAAAAGCATTGGTAGCAAATGTGGTATGTAATGTAATGTAATGTATGGTAATGGTATTTATTATGCTCTATTTTGTGTAGGCAATGTATGAGTTGATACAAACAGTTAACCTGCCTCTTGACAAGAATGAGCAGAAATCAGCCTGAGCCAGCTTTTGTGTGGGCTCTAGAGTGGACAGACCACCCCTTCCACACCTCTCAAGAGGTTTGAAGACTTTTCAGGAAAAAAAAAGAACTCACCGATTCTTGGCCAGTGGTGTTTTGCATTTGTTAGAGTAGCAAATTCAGTTTGCCATTTTCTATTGTTCTTCTAGCAGAGTTAAAGAAGCACATGGGTGATTTGGAAAACTGTTCTCAAGTGAGGCTCCCAGGGGAACTGGAGCATCAAAGTCAAGAAGCTATCGTCCTAAGGTTTTGTTCCTTCCACTTAGAAGAAAATGGAATTTGAATAAATCCTCAATTTGGAGTAAAATGTCATTATTGTAGTTCACACATCAATGTTAATTTTTAGGCATTCTATTAATCTTCTGGTTGACTACTCATATTTTTATTCTTGTAACACACAAAAAGGCATAAATGAAGACTGGATTTTTTTTCAAATTTAAGAAGCAAAGAAAAGTGCCAGAGTCTAGAGTTTTTGGCTTTATTAAAAGCTCAGAAGCATCATTCCAATGGAGAAAAATAATTCCAAAGATTGGAATTAGCACAGAAAAGATCTGAGTCAACAGGTATACATTTATTGTCCCTGTAGAGAATTTACTATAAACTGCATTATTAGGTATGCTTTATAACTCACTCTTTAAAGAGCAGATGCAGAATTATATTGAGATTTTAAATGAAAATAGGCCATTTGAGAATACTAGAATCTTTCAGGTCACTAGACACTGGTCTAAAGAAATTTTACTAGAGCTTTTCTTTTGTCATTCTCAGGAATTCACCCTTCAATTCTACTCACTTCATATGTGATTCCATATGAGATTCCTTGCCTGAAGTAAAGTGCTTCAATTAATTTAGTCATCCATTCATCCACCCATCATTTATTCACCCATTCATCTACACCTCTATTATTCAATTTTCTTCTAACATGCATCACTAAGTGCTAAGAATGAGATATTTCTCTTATACCCTCCCTCTCCTTCATCTCTGAGATTTATTATAGGCAATTTGAATAACTCACCTCTAATATTTCAGTTTGGAAAGATAGACTACTGCATGGCATATTTTAAATCTCAGTTGATTTCCTAACACACCCCATATTTCCTATTCTAAATATATTTTTTTCTCCACAAGCCTCTGACATTATTCATGAAATATTTCTGTGCCCTCTCTGTACAAAGAAGAGAGAAGACTGCCACATAGACCTCCAGGTGTACTTTTCTTATATCTCATCCAGGATTGGGCCTGGAATTGTTATTTTTATGGAGCCATGTCTTCATTTTTCAATAAGATCACAAACCTAATTTAAAAGGCAGTACCAAGCCAGGAACAATGTCTCCTACCTGTAATACTAGCTATTCAGGAGGCAGCTGAGGGCTGGAGAATAAAAGGGCTGTACATAAACGTTTTGTTTGTTTCTTTGGTTTTGTTTGGTTTTGTTTTGGTCTATCGTGGGGCCTGGGTGCTGTCCCTGAGCTCTTCAGCTCAAGGCAAGCACTCTACCACTTGAGACACAGCATCACTTCCAGTTTTCCGGTGGTTAATTGGAGACAAGAGTCTCATGGGGAATTTCCTGCCTGGGCTGCCTTTGAACCATGATCCTCAAATCTCAGCCTCCTCAGTAGCTAGGATTACAGGTGTGAGCCACCAGTGCCTGCCCCATAAAAGATTTTAAGATTATATTTCCCCAAACAACCAGCAAAAAGTCAGGCTGGTTGTATGGCTCAAGTAGTAGAGCATCAGACTTAACAAACAAAGCTGAGTAAGCTGAGCTTGAACCCTCATTCCAAGGAGTGAAAAGGCCAGTACCATACACTAGCTTCTTTGTGAAAACCATGATGTCAAACCCAGTGCTGTGAACTAGGTTTATACCAATAATTATCTGGTCCATAAAATAAATCACAGACAAAACTCCTCCACAAGGGAAATGGGTTTTTAGAGTGAGAAAAGACACAAGTCCTAAATTATATGGCAAAATCTCATGCAGAACTGTCAATAGGTCAGGGGTCAGAATAAGAATCTAAGCCAAACCCAAGGTATGAAGACAAAACTTCCCACACTTCAAGTTTCTGGGCAACAAAACTGGCTCAAAGAAGATACATCTCTTACTTTTAGAAATCCCAAACCAGATTCCTGGTCTCCCTGCATAGCAGTGCTCTTCTCCACGGTGGTGAAGTTATATATGAGAGTTGTCCATGACAGCTTCTCCTCTTTGTCACACACACACACACACACACACACACACACACACACACACACACACACATCCAATCCAGCCACAAGATCTCTTAGATTTCCCTCAGTATGCCCTTGTAAGTGCATCTATGCTGCTACCATCTTAGTTCAAGCTTATCAGCATCCTTACTAAGTTTAATCTAGTGATCTCTGTGTCTATTCACAGTTAATCCTTCCATTCCATTCTCCCCACAGTGTCCACAGAGAGCTTTAAAAAAATGTACCAACACTATCGCCCTACTTGCTGTCTTTTGATGGCTTCCTATTTCTCTCTTTGGTAAATTAGAGTTTTTATTTTGCCTGAGGAACTCCACATAACTCCTTGTGACAGAATGTTTCCCTAACTCTGCACTGCACAGCTGGAAATAGACCACATGACTGCTAACCTCTTCCTCTCTCTAGAGCTATGAGTTGAATGGAATGGGACAAGTAAAACCAGAATGCTTTCACCAGTATCCAATACTAAAGAAAAGAAAACACTACCCAGAGCTCAGAAACAACTTTTGTCCTTTGTATCACCATCCTTTTCTTGCTTCAATTTCCTTCTTACTCAAAACAAAATCAAAGTTTACCTGCCTGGAATGATCTCTGTTCCTTTCTTCTCCATTCTTCTTCTCCAGGATTCTGTTTGATTCTACTCTTCAGAGTTCCTCTACCCATTTTTCCAAGTTCAACTGAGGAAGTAGAAAGAACAAGGTGAATCTTCACACCAGTGTTATGGAGCCTGGAGAATCAGCACACACTCCAGCTGTGAGCACTAAATAGTATGCTTTGATATAGGATATCCCGCTTTCCTCAGACCTGAATCAGTTGCCCTGTAGCTTTCTATAACCCGGATGATTCCCCAGTGTTGTCACTCCTGCCTCTCTCCCTCTTCTCTTGGTCCCTTTGTCTGACTTTGATTTCCTTGTTTTGATGGCCATTCTCCAAGGGATTCTTCCCCTCGTCCCTACTTATCTGTTATCCTTGTAAACCCTGGGCATTCTACACTCCCAGAAAGGTAATTACCTGCTTTAAAATTCAAATTCCCTTCTTGCTCTCAATTCCAAGGGAGCTGAAGAGATGAATGTCTTACTCACAATTGTACTCCCCAGGGTTTGGCAATATACCAGAATAACCAGTCAATATATGTTGAGTGAATAACCATGCCCAAAGGAGACTAGTCATTCACATATAAATTCCACAGGGCTGTGTGGTGATTCATTCATTATATATCTAAATATGCCAAGTGTTTTGCTCATTTCCTTCTGTTTAGCAAATCGCAGCAGCTGAACACATGTCATTAATTCCTTTAGCCACCTGTATTTATGGCTACTACTGGCTGAAGTTATTGCTCCCTCTACAAGAATGCATTTTAGGTAAACATGTCCATGTTAGCCAGTTGTTGTTGTTGTTGTTGTTTCCATCTCTGTGACAAAAAAATACTGAGAAATGACTTGAATGAGGAAATATGTAATCTGGCTCCTGGCTCCATGGCCCCTTAGCTTTGCTCCATCTGAGCCCATGGTAGGGAGCAGCATTTGGTGGAGCAAAGCAGGTCACAATACAGCAGACAAGGACGCATGGCAAGAAGGGGTGGGACAAAGTATTATCTTTCCAGATCAAGCCTCCAAGTTTAGAGTCCCACTTTCAAAGCACTGTCACTCACTGGGGAGCTCATGGGGGGTGGGGGAGGGGACATTTCAAATCATTCTGCCTCTGGCCCCCAAAGGCTCATGGCAAAAAGATAGTACCATAATGAACAATTCATTTAGTTCAGCCCCCAAATGCAGCACTTCCATTACTGATCAAAATATCAAGTTCAGCCATTTGCCAGTAGCTCACACTTATAATCCTAGTTCTGTAGGTAAGACCTAAGGATCATGGTTCAAAGCCAGCCTGGGCAAGAAAGTCTATGAGACTCCTATCACCAATTAATCACCAAAAAAGCCAGAAGTGAGGCTGTGACTCAAGTGGTAGAGTATTAGGCTTTAGCACAAAAATCTCAGCAACAGTTCTCAGGCCCTGAGTTCAAGCCCCAGGACTTGCAAACACACACACACACACACACACACACACACACACACACACACACACACACACACACACACACATCCAGTTCAAACTTTTCTCTGAGATGCAAGGCAAATGCTTAACTGTTAGGCATCTATAAAACCAAAAGGAAATGACTTAATACTTCCAATATACAGTGGTAAAATGTAAACATCCCCTTCCAAAATTAAATGCAAATCCAAGCCTGCAGCATCGTGTCCAGCATCTGCAGGGCAGCACAAGGTGGTATGTTGTGAGCACATACTAATAGAGCACACTTCTATAGTCTGGGCATTTGTGTTCTCTCAGGCTGCTCACTTGCTACTGGAGGCTTTCTTCATATTCATTCTGTGTTTCTCGCATCTCTAACTTCCTCCGGTTTCCATTGGATCACCTGCTTTACCCTCACAGCCTCATACTCTGTGCTCTCTGGGATTGCCTGTGTGGAATCAGACACTGCTACATATTGCCTGGCCTCCAGGTCTTCCTTAGAAAAGTGAGTTGCAATTCTATGAGCACAAAACTCTGCTTGCCCAAAAAAGAAAAATATTGTATAAATAATACCAAGGTATAATTCCAGCCTGAGTAGTGGCTAAGCCCCCTTCGATCATGATTAGGGCAGCCTCTGAGCTTTTGATGGTTGAACGTGACGTTAGCAGCATTGTACTAGTCAGGCACTCCAAGAGCTCTCTTCTTAAAGCAAAGTCTGTCAAGTATGTCAGTTAAAGCCTTCATGCTCTTGAACTCATCTCATTGCAAAGTTCTTGACTTTTTTTTTTGCCTGTCCTGGGGCTTGTATTCACAGCCTGGGTACTGTTTCTGAGCCTCTTTATGCTCAAGGCTAGCACTCTACCACTTGAGTCACAGTGCCACTTCTGGGTTTTCTGAGTAGTTCATGGAGATAAGAGTCCCCCAGGGTCTTTTCTGCCCTTCGAACAGCAATCCTCAGATTTCAGCTTCTTGACTTCTTTTTAATGGCCCGAACATCTTTAACAATCAAGCCTTGCTTGGCCCCCACTCTGAACATGCTTGTATTCTAGGCAAACTGCAAGGTTTTTCTAAATCTTTCTACTCTGCTTGTTCCTCCCAATTCTTTCTATAAGTGTGACTAAAACCAGCTAGTGATACCCAGACGACACAGCCTAGGTGGCAAGCTGCCTTGAAATCTCCACTAGATAAATTAGTCTATCACTTTTCAGTTCAGCCATCCACAAAGTCTCAGGATAAGGACAAAACGAAGAGTGTGCATGGCCTCCTGTCCAATACCCGATTGAGTCCTTGTTCATACGTGCAACCTCATGAATATGGCATTTGACCTTCGTGTTTCTATCAGCGTTCTTTTGAGCTCTCACCAAAACCAGCCATTAAGCTCTACTTTTAGCATTCCAGAGCTCCTCGAATCTGATTCTCCAAACTTTTCCTAACACTTCCCGCCAAGCAATTGCAAAAGTTTCTGAGCTTTATCACTAGAAATAGTACCAGCAACTGCACTTCTCCAGGTACTAATCTTCTACATTCTTGTAGCTTTAAAAATAATGTTGTTGTTTCCATTGTGATAAGAAAAATACTTAAGTAAAACAACAAAGGAAAGAAGATTTACTTCAGCTTATGACTTCAGAGGTTTCCATCCATGATCCCATGCCTCCATGGTCTCTGGTCCCATAAAAAAAAAAAGAACCTAATGACAGGGAGCATCTGTAGAGGAAAGCAGTCCCCATATGGTAGACAGGAAGAAGAAAGCATAACTTGGCTACAGGAAAATGTATACCCCTTACTAAGTGATATACTAAAATGTATACCACTTACTAAGTTTCTAGAACCTCCTAAGTTGGTACCAACAGAGAGGCACTGAGACTTCTATATATGAACCAATGGAAGACATTTCATATTCAAACTGTATCAATGTCTTTTTAAAAACACCACATCTTAATTCACCAGACAGGATCTAGGCACAAAGGCAGGCCATCAACTTCACATTTAAGCAGTCAAATTTACCCTAGGAACACAGCACAGAAAGCAGACCACTCTTTTTGCTTACCAGTAGACCAGGCTTCACCAGAAGTATACCCAGATGTAACTAATGTGTGAATGGCAGAGTCTAACAAAGCTCTTGGTCCAATGACAGCATGCATTGGACGTTCCCTCGGGAAGATAGGGAGGGAAAAATATGAAGCAATGAAGAATGGATGGCAGCCTGCCCCTAACTCAGGAAACAGCAAAAATCCATTAGATGAAATAGATACAAGTTCTGTCCTCATTGAATTCCTTGATCTGCATGTGCTTGTTCCATTCTTGCTCCATCCAAACCAAAATCCTCACCCCTGCTACAGCCAGTCTTCCACGCTGACCACCACCAGACAGTGAGAGAGAAGCTGATTGAGTCAGCAAGCATCTGTTCTCATAAAGAAGCTGACTGCTTCCTTTTCTGGTCTACTGCATCTGCTTCTTCCTGCCAGAAGTTCTCTGTTCATCTCTATGCCCTCATGTCTCCCATTAGCAGCCTTTATCTTTCCCTTTCGGCTAATCCTCTGTTGCCTGTCTGCCATTGCTTGCCTTCAATCCTCACCCTCCCTGACACCTATTTTCACTTAAGTGCTATGTGGTAAACACACTGGACCCAAAAAAAGTAGAAACAAAGAGAAATGCAGCCACAGAAAAGAAAATAAAACTCTTTTTCCCAGCAAAAGATCTCTATATTTCTAGGAATCTGAAAATAGAGTAGTTCCTACTTAAAATTAATATAATAACTTCATGATAGGATCATTTTAGGAAATCTACCTTAACAAAATTCAGAACGAGACACATAGTCTTTCTAAAGCAAGGCTACATATTAAAAGGCAGCTAGATAAAGTCATTCCTCACCCTTTTAGAAATTAAAGCAAGAGAAGACTTCATTTATTTTAATCATTGGGTTTTCCTGTCTGCGACTTGATTCTTTTTTTAAAAAATGTATTTTTTTTATTGTGAAAATATTGTACAGAGGGGTTACAATTAGGTGGGCAAGATAATGAGTACATTTCTTTTTTTAATTTAATCTTATTTTATTGTGAACATACTGTACAGAGGGGTTACAATTACATGGGCAGGATAATGCTTACATTTCTTACCAAGCCTTGCAGCCTCCTCCTTTGGTTAATGAGTACATTTCTTAACAAGCATTGTTGCCTCCTCCTTTGTTTCCCCTTCCCATCCCTTCCCAGCCTCCCCTTGCCCCCCCAATCCTCCCCCCTCCCCCACCAAAGTTGTAAAGTTCGTTTTCAACATTGTTGCAATGGGTCCACCTGTATCCTTATTTAAACGACTTGTTTTTCGCCTTCCCCTCCACAAATTATACCCACATCAAATACAATGAAAGCAGGGGTTATACCGTGGGGGAGGGACATACAAAACAACAAAGAAGTCATCTTATAAATGTGTTAGAAACAATCGCATGAAAGAAAAAAAAGCATTTGAATACATATCTTAGGGTTCATTTCACCTAACATCAACTTACCTGACTTTTTCTGCTTGTTTCAGACATATACTAGTTATTGCAAATAAGGGAAACCATGGGACCTATGTTTCTTTGGGCCTGGCTTACTTCACTTAATATAATTTTTTCCAAGCCTTTCCTTTTCTTACCAATTGGGCAATGTCATTCTTTCTGATGGAGGCATAGAATTCCATTGTGTATATATACCACATTTTCTTGATCCATTCATCTTCTGAGGGGCATCTGGGTTGGTTCCATATCTTAGCTATGGTAAATAATGCTGCAATAAACATAGTTGTGCTGGTAGCTTTAGTATGGTCTTGTTTGTAAACATTTGGGTAAATGCCCCAAAGTGGGATTGGTGGGTCATAGGGAGCTCTATGTGGAGTCTTTTAAGGAACCTCCATACTACTTTCCAAAGTGGTTGAACGAGTTTACACTCCCACCAACAATGGAGTAAGGTTCCTTTCTGTCCACATCCCCTCCAGCATCTGTTGTTATTAGAGTTCTTGATTTTTGTGTGGCTTGACTCTTGACCCTCCCATTCACCTAGATGAGCTCCAGAAAGACCAGGTGAGTTACAAGCCAGAGTAGAAGGCTGATCCCAGAGTTTAAAGTTTGGAACCAAAGTGGAGTAAAAAAAATAATTATATAGGTTAGCAAGGAACAAAACAAACTGAAAGAAAAATAAATGTGCTGGATCCAACGGTGTGGCCTCTAGAGAAGAGGCTTCATCTTCCATTAACTAGGAACCGATAGAAATGCAACATCCTGGTTCCCACTACAGACCTACTGAATCACTTCTGTGACCAGCTGAGATCTCCTGGTTTGGAGGAATCAGACAAAACCTCAGGTGAAGACACAATTTTTTGGCAGTCATGGGCCTTCAACACTGGACCTGGGTGCTGTCCCTGAGCTCTTCAGCTCAAGGCAAGTGCTCTACCACTTGAGCCACAGTGCCACTTTTAGTTTTCTGATGTTTAATTGGAGAAAAGCGTCTTTCAGACTTTCCTGCCCAGGCTGGTTTTGAACTGCGATCCTCAGATCTCAGCCTCCTGAGAAGCTAGAATTACAGGCATAAGCCACCGGAGCCTTGCTGAAGATATAATTTTTAAATGAAGCTAAGCAAGTTATTATGACTTTAAAAAATACCAAGAAAGGGCTTGGGGTGCCAGGTCAACTGGTAGAACAAGGTTCTGAGTTCAAATCCCAGTACTGCAAAAAAAAAAAAAAGATAATAGTTCCCTTCATACATGTGAAAGCCTTTTTCATTATATCTGTAGCCTGTGCATGTACGCCGGTCGTTGAATCCCTTATTTTATAAAGATGATTGTTTTATTATACTTTTCAGATACATGCTGATAATTGTTTTTGCAATCCACTCTGGGACAACTTTGTGGTAATGGTTTTTATTCTTTTTCTTATGTTTGTCTTGTAGCATCATCACATACATGCCGCACTCATTCTTTTTGCTGATTTTTGCTGTATGGAGGTTTTTGTTTGAGAGGAGCTAAGGTCATTATTCCTTCTTAATATAAAGGATTGGATGTGAGTGCATTTAACTTCCAACCCATAAAAACTCTCCCCCACCTCTCTCTCTCTCATAAACGGGAGCTTTGACATGAAACCATTAAGCTACCTCTAGCTCTGTTTCTCACTGGTTAATTTTAGGATAGGATCTTTCCACCTGGGTCAGTTAAATCAATCTACTTTTAGGCTTTTCATTTTTACCAAGACCATCACCGGCCACCATGGAGTTTTGTGGACCTCTCTGTCTGGAACTGCAACCTCTGGTCTCAGTCTCCCAAGCAGCAAGAATTATAGGCATGAGCCACTAACACAAGACATTCTTTATCTCGGTCTCAAAGATGCTATACTACAAAGTTGATTTCTTTTCAACCTTATTCTACCCTTTCTTACCTCTTCTGACCTCAAATGAAACTGAATCTAGGGAAGGTCTTACTTTTTTCTCCATTTAATAAACAAGGATTACTGGGTTTGAAGCTCAAACTATGCCACTATTTAGAAGAACGAATATGTTCCAATGTTGTCTGAG